GCAGCAGCAGCAGAAGTATTCTGATTATTTGTATGATCAGCAGTGACAGTGGCAGTGGCAGTGGTCGTGGTAGTGGTAGTGGTAGTGGTGGTGGTGGTGGTCGTCGTCGTCGTAGTAGTAGCAGTAGTAGTGGTAGTAGGGTTAGTAGTCGTCGTCGTCGTCGTCGTCGTCGTCGTCGTCGTCGTCGTCTGAGTTTCGGTTGTCGTAGTGTGTGGTGGTCGTGGTGGTGATGGTGGTGGTGGTGGTGATAATTGGGTAGTGGTAGTGGTAGTGGTGGTGGAGGCGTTCGGAGTAGTGGTAGGGGCAGGAGTAGTGCTGACAAGCACGCAGCACACTTAAGAAAAGGGGAAGTGGTGGTCCTATTACAAGCAGCAGTAGCTTTTTTCCAATGATGTTGTGCATCTCACAAACATCTTCACGGACATCGCAACCATACCCTAACCTCCCAGGTATCTACTATATAGGGTACTAGAGCCCCTAGGGCCCTATATAGTAGGTACCTGGGGGGTTAGGGATAGTTCTTTGCATCCTGGAGCGAAGCAGCAGACCACCTCCAGGTCCCGTGAATGAGCAGATCTTGGAGACGACGAACATGGTGGGCCATTTCCGGCTGATCACCAGGCAGATGCAGATGCAGACCTTGGAAGCCAACGGATACAGGATTGTTCTTGGCAGGATTTCGTCATGTGAGGTAGTAGAACGGCGGAGCCAATCACAAGCAGCCACATTCTGGGCTAAACAGGCTGGGCAAGCTGTTCCCCGCTTTTCCGCCTAGCTTCCTTCAGCTTTACGTCTACAGGCTCGACGTAACGATTGATCGCCTACTTGGACAGTGACACGGTGCAACGCTACTGCTGCTCATCCCTGCAGGTATAACAACTTCACCTTAGATCTCACGCACGATGCCACGACAGCCCTTGTCTTCGTGATGCTATGGTAGATGCCCTTGCCCCGACATGGTTGTACCTCTGCGTGTGGACCGCAATTGCCTCCGTTCGTGACGTAAAGTTGCAGAAACAGAATGTTTCCCTGGCCTTAACTCTACACCAAATGACTTCCCCTCGCTCCTGCTCACCGAGAGCGCCACTCCTCAATCCCCAAGCATACCCAGCAAAATCTGTACCGGGCAAGATAGCGGCATGAGACGACGGGCGACTGAATGCCACACTCGTGTCCGTCGTCCTGCCATCAATGAGAAGCCGTGGACGGACAAGAAACCCACCCCAATCTTACATCGTCGAAGGCTTCCTTCCAGGAAGGGCATGGTGCTACAGGCCGGATAGTTGAGGTTTCTCCCTAAGGGTCCAGGTACTCATATAGCATATACATGGGCCTTAACGTACCTATATAGGGACTACATTAAGGCCAATGTATATATCATATGAGTACATGGACCCTTATGGTCTGAATCCCAGGCAGTCCTGATTGCAGGGCTTGATTGGCATTGGTGAGTTAGGGCAACAGGGTTCAGGATCCGGACTTACCTGGAGGGTCTTCGGAGGGGTAGAGCTTCGCTGGTAAGCAGCAGGTCCTCCTTGTTGTTGTTAGTTGTTTTGTGGATAGGGCTTTGATTGGCTTGGGGATGTGAGGCGGTGTTGAAGTCGCAATGCAGAGGTCTACAAGCAAATGTCCAGAGACGGAAAAGGCGCCGATTCAATTGTGAACTCCCTAAACTTATTGCAGAGTCAGGTGAGACAGGAGCCAAAACAGGTAGAATGTTGCCTCCCTAAACCCTAAACCCTAAACCCCTGTTGCATTTTATGCTTGCACTCCAGCCTTGCACGGCGAAACACGGAATCCTCGGCATTCCTCGCTTGCGAGTCTCACGACACGACAAGCTGGCATGCTTGCTCTCCCTCCAGAGGCCATGCCGCCTGGATTGGTGACCATACATCCTAAAACCTTATAAACTACACTTGAAAAAAACTTTATGAACTCTATAATCTACAACCCTAAACCCTAAACTCTAAATCTTGGTCTTTGGGTTGATTAGGTTGGACGTAGCGCTCACGTTGAGGCGGTGGACGCAGATCAGAAGTCCGTGGCCATCAAGATCTTCGAGAAATCACAGGCGGCCATGCGAAGTGGGACTAAGAGGGTTTAGGCTTCAGAGGTTTAGGATTTGGGGTTTAAGGTTTAGGGGTTTAGGGTTTTAGGGTTTAGGATTTTAGAGTTTAGGCTTCAGGGTTTAGGATTTTAGAGTTTAGGCTTCAGGGTTTAGGGTTTAGGGTTTGGGGTGTAGGGTTTAGGGTATTTAGCGGAGACGAGGCTGCTGGGGACGGTCAGCCTGAGGAGTGCATACTAATGGCAACGACGACGTTGTTTGGCAAGGTTTGAGACTGATCTGTTCGCGGGTGTCTGAAGCCGAAACCAACGGTGCGAAATCCCTAAACCTAAACCCGCAAATGGGTAGTTCTCTAAATTAGGGTCCCTTTTTAGGTCCCCAATATAGTACGGCACCCTTATCAAAAGGACCCCAAAAGGGACCCTAGTTTAGAAAACTACCCGAATGCATCCAAACTCGCAAAACAGCGCCAGACACAAGATCCTGGTCTCCTGGAGAGCATCTACCGGGAGTTCCGGCTCACTGGCGAAGTTGTGAGGCACAGGGGCTTAGCTTAGCCTTTCGCCTGTCTGCTCGTTGCGCCCAGCTGGCGCGACAGCCAGTGGAGGGTTCTGGCAAAAAGTGCTTCGTCGCCGTTGTAGTAAGGTCGTGCCGTAATCGCAGCTGCGTGTCCATCGCAGTAGTATCTATATATAGATAGATAGATAGATAGATAGATAGATAGATAGATAGATAGATAGTCGTCATCGCGATTGTACTGGTCGTTGTGGTGCTATTCAGTTTTGAACCCGATGATGATGATGATGGTGATGGTGATGGTGATGGTGATGGTGATAGTGATGGTGATGGTGATGATGTTGGTTATGATGATGATGATGATGATGCTGATGATGATGATGATGGTGATGATGATGATGATGCTTTCTGTAGGCATGCGGCTATACCGCTATTCCTCCTGGAGGCATCCCAACATCGCCAAGTGCCTGGACATGATTCACAGCCTTTCGAGAGTCTACCTCGTCATGGAGTTTGCCGGCGGTGCCACTGCCCGGGGTGGTGGTTCTGCGATTTTGGTGTCCGGGTGCCGAAAACCTTAAACCCTGCACCTTGGCCACACTGCCACACCTACTATGGACATCACAAACACTAGAACCACTGGGTTCCCACAGCCTCCTCTTCGGAAACCCTGATGGACGGTAGGTCTTGGGGGCATAAAAAGCGGCTCACTCGAAACCCCTAAACCCGAAACCCGAAAGCCCGGACCCATCCGGCCCCCAAGCCCCCAAAAGCCGGCACTCTCAACCCCAAACTCTAGAGCCCTGAGACCTAGTAAACCCTAAACCCTAAACCCTGAACCCTAAACCCTAAACCCTAAGCCCTAAACCCTAAACCCTAAACCCTAAACCCAAGCCATGAACACAAAAGTCGACTCTTGGCTTTCAGGGAAGCGAGGTTCTCAGCTTCTCCGCCTCGGTGCTTTGGGGAGTCCGAGTGTAGGACTTTGACGTTCGGGGTTGCGGTGTTGGATCTACTGTTGGTGATATAAACCCTGCAATACAATTATAAGGACCCTAAACTATAGGAATCATGGTATATTCCTTAACTATGGGTAATGCAGGATTTGTATCATCAGCCGTAGGGTTCAGGAAGAAGCAGGTTTCGGGTCATGGGTTTAGCTTTTGGTGTCATTGCTTGAGGCTTTGTGTCATTAGGGTTTAGGGTTTAGGGTTTAGAGTTTAGGGTTTAGTCTTTGTGCCAAGGGTTCAAGGTTTCGGGCTTGGATTTAAGGATCTTCCGTCAGCTGTTTTGATGTGCCAGTGTAGGCAAGGAATGTGAACATGCCAGACCGTGAGATGTCTGTGTCAGAATACCACTAATTAAACTCATGAAGCCTAATAGTATATAGTATCGTAGTCTATAGTATACAATGTATGTACAGAAACAGTATCCTAGCTATATATATATATATATATATACATATACACACGTGCATACAGTTTCAATATAAAAAATACAGCCTGAACTGCAACTCTTCGCCATGTGGGCATACCTCACGGAGTGTCCCCTCTTGTAGAGCCCCTCGATTTGCGATTGCTGTTGCCGCCCTGTGAAGGTGCAAACATCGAGCACATCGTCAGTTGCACCTCGGCTCTCGCATGGTCAGCCTAAGAGGCTTTGCATGGTAATGGCAATGGTAGGAATAGCAATACTGGCAGGGATAGTAAGAACAGCAGTACTAGTAACCCCAAACCCTAATTCCCCCCATAGGAACGATAGTAATAGCAAGTAGGTTCGGTCACTCAAGCTTCGACACTTGGGTTGCCAGCCCATGAAGAAGCGAGTCCGGCTTCAGGGGCAGTCAATGCACGCTCTGGTCGCAGAGTTAGAATGGGTTGCAAGATTATAGAGTTTAGGCTTGAGGGCTTAGGGTCCCCAATTAAATCTAGTCTCCTGCTGGCCCAACACTATAGCCCTAAATCTCCACACTTAAACCCTACATCCCTAAACCCTAAACCTGAAACCCCGCTACACGCCACCTTCCAGTTGAAGACGCGCAGAGGTCGCCAGGAGCAGCGGATGAATGAGTCTGAGGTGAACAACTGTGACCCGGACTGCACAGGCTTTAGGGCCGTTTAGGGGTTATAGTGGGTTTAGGGTTTAGGCTTTAGGGCCGTTTAGGGGTTATAGTGTTTACAGGTTTAGGTACTAGAAGAAGGAGTCTTTCTTGGCAGTAGTAGTCGTCGTCGTGGTGGTGGTGGTATGGCAGCAGTGTCCACTTGCATGATTTGCCCATGGGCGGTATCTTGCGCGTGCGCGCGTGTGTGTACACTTGCTGCTTTTGAACATGTGCATGGAGAGGCATGTGCATGCCTCCATCCACTAGTTTGTCGACATGTCTCCCTAAACCCTAAACCCTAAACCCTAACCTCCCCAAATGCCTACTATATAGGGTACTAGAGCCCCTAATTAGGGCCCAATAAGGTACCTGGGGGGTTAGGGTCGGTCCATGATCCCGACCTATTCGGCATTCATCTGTCTGGTTCTATCTGCAGGTCCTCCATCCTGATCTGGGGGTTTCAGAAAATTAGGGTACCTTATTTTGGGGTCCTTATAATAGGGATCCTATTAATTAGGGTACTATATTAGGGTCCCCTATTTTCGGAAACCCCCTGATCTCGCTTGACCGATCCCTCTACTCGAGTGAGTATAAGATATGTGATATGTGTATCTAATGTATACGCATCGGAAGCCTTCTTAGCCGCTGACCCCCGCAAAAAGCTCCCTAAGCAAAAAGCAAAAACGCCTAAACCCTAAACCCTAAACCCCTAAACCCCTAAACCCTAAACCCTAAACCCTAAAGCCTAAACCCTAAACCCTAAACCTTAAACCCTAAACCCTATAAGGCCATCGCGGACAAACTCGAGAGCACCCATGACCCGAGGCTTTGAGCAGGTAGTGCGTGGTGTGGCTCATCTCCATTCCAAGGCCAGCTCACCGACCTACTTGGACCCCCAAAGTAGGGTTTTAGGGTTTAGGGTTTAAGGTTTAGGGTTTTAGGGTTTTAGGGTTTAGGGTTTAGGGTTTAGGGGGCTCACCTACCTACTTGGACCCCGAAGTAGGTAGAACAATCGTAATCTTTAGGTGTGCGGCCATTGTTTGCTTTTGGCAAATCTTTCGGGGGGTTTAGGCAGTCATTAAAATCTGCATATTCCCCCCCAAATTTAGGGTTCCGGACCTCAGGATGCAGGGTTATCGTCAGGTGCTCCTCCAACGTAGGGGTTAGCAGTTAATCATGCTACACTATCCCAAATACCACTGGTACCCTAAACTCAAGTACCTAATAACTGGGTAGCTTGGATCCCAAGGGGCTTGTCGTTTTATACAGATCTTCCTTGCATGGTTCACGAGGACATCAACATTTCTATTTCCACGACCCTGGCTTGGGGAAGTTACCTGGGATTCAACCACAAGAGAAGTTCAGGCATTGCAGATGTAATTTGAAGGGAATCTGACTACCAACTGGACTGCTGGTACTTGGGCAGGCAGTCTATCTCTGAAGCTGCAGAAGCGACAGCAGATTGTGAGATGAGAATCTGCAGCGCAGATTCCCCTGTCCTGTATTGCATCTTAGTGTTAATCGCATTGCTACTCTTGCCAACTTGTAAACCGCACAACTTGCAGCTGTTCTAGTTTCCATGGTCATTCATCACCATTCATCATTGTTGTGGTTATGCAGACTCTCTCTCTCTCTATATATATATATATATAGTTCAGTGTTCTGGAGCGCTAGCCTAGATACTAGACGAATCCTGGAGGAGCCCGGATGCATAGAGAGGAGGGTGCAACAAGGAACCCCGTTGGTATGTATCTAGGCCCGTATATTACCCGATCTTAAGCATTTGCCCTTGTGGTAAACCTTATGGTGTCCCCTCGCTCCAGTAGATTGCATGAGTAGCCTAAACCCCAGACCTTAAACAAGCTAAGACTACAAAGTATCGCCTAAAAACCGACAGGGTGAAAACCCGAAACCCCAAACACCAAAACCTTAAGCTCCAAACCCTGAATCCAAAACCTACATAAAGCTGCAAACCCTGCACCCTAAACCCTGTCTCTCAGAACATCGCACATCGCAACATTTGCCTCCGCCATCTCGTCGTCTCCACTTTGGCGGGCAGCGACAGGCTGTCGGGAATCCACGGATTTCTTTGCGGGTTCCTTTAAAGGGTGTAGGGTTCTGGTCATTCCTTTAAGGATTCCTGTTAAGGGCATTAAGTTTTAGGGTGCAGAGGATTCCTATAAGGGTGCCTTCATGGATTTCCGTATATGCGGGTCCTTTGAGGGTGCTTTGGGAGCTCGCGAGCCTGGGTTTCGAGGGCTCTCTTGAAGGTTTGTCGAGGCTTTAGTACAGGGGCCTGCATAATTACCTATACTATTTTGGAGGTTTCTCATTATAACTCTAGTATATAGTATACGCCAAAACCCCGTTCTAATCATTAAGGCCCCTACATTAGTGGTGCCACCTCAATCCTATGGGCTCACTGAGCCGGTACAGCCGCAAGTCTCCATTCGCAAGACCTTATTTAGGGTTTAGGGTTTAGGGTTTAGGGTTACATCCTAAATCCTTTACGTCCTCATGAGCTCAGTATCCAAAGCTTCGAATAACGCCAGCTCGGGTCGGTCCAGCTTTTTCTCGTGCAGGGAACACGTGCGGATTGTGGATTTCCAGTGCCGGCCTCAACATTACATGGGGGTTTCGGAAAATAGGGGACCCTAAGGTACCATATAGTAGGATCCTTATTATAAGGACCCGAAAAGAAGGTACCCCTTATTTTCGTCAACTCCCACATGAGGGTTTGAGGGCGAGGATGGTCGGGATGTATAGGGTTTTCGGGTTTCGGGTCGAGTGGTTTAGGAGTCATGGTCCTTCGGGCCATAGTGCTCAGGAATTCGAGCTCCCACTACAGGAGCTTACTATTCCTATGCACCGCAGAATCGTAACCCATCATTTTTAGGGCGATATGGGAGTTTCCGGAAACTAAGGGGTACCCTTTTTGGGGGTCTTTATAATAAGGATCCTACTATTTAGGGTACTCTGTTAGGGTCCCCCTAAACCTTAAACCCTAAACCCCAAACCCTAAACCCGTCCCCCATTTTCGGAAACCCCCACATGAGCCCATCCGGAATGGGTTTGGGGTTTGCGTGCCCTCTCCAGCTGAACTTGTCAGTGCTAAGGTCATTCAGTCACTACACAACGGTTCTAAAGTAGGGGCCTAAATGATTACCGATACCATTTTAGGGGTTCCTTAGTATAATTATGGTAAACTATACCCCCCAAACCCTATTCTAACTATTATGGCCCCTATATTAGTTTCACCTGAAGGCAGCAATGACTCGCACGATGCTGGAGCGACCGACCGATGTCAGCATATAGTAGCACAATCAGCCCGTATCAGACTACCCTTGAAATGCGTATTGAGATTGTTAAGGTCCACTTGGGTTCTTTGGTCCAGTGGTTCATGTGCGACTTGTCTGCCTTTCACTAGACTGCCCCGACCAAGGCATCATCTTCGAAATGTCATGACCTGTAGTGCTGTATATCTGGTCTGCCTAGTTGTAGTTACACCAAAATCCACCCCCAAATCCCAATCATGAAGTTCCCCATGGCAGTGTCCTGGGGACCCACTGAGTGCAGTCGGGCTGGAGGCATGCCATGCTAGTACGAGCCGATATGACCTCCCGGACGGCAGCGCCTGGCATGTTTGCAGGTTTGGGGTTTAGGGTTTAGGGTAGACATGAGAGGAAGTATGGGTTTAGGGTTTAGGCAGAATGATGATTTGGGATCCCTCATCAATCCCTTCCGCTTAATATGAAAAAACGGGGGGCCCCCTCCCCTCCGCCCAACATGAAATGTGCTTTGATTAATAGGTGGTATGTTTATCTTTGCTGTCACTTTTGAGAGATCTTGCTCTTGCTCCTGCTCCTGCTGCATCTCTTGCTCTCGCTCCTGCGCTTGCCTTTGCTCTTGCTATTGCTTCTGCTCTTCCTCTTGCTTTTGCTCTTACTCTTGCTCTTGTTTGTGCTCTTGCTCTTACTCCTGCCCTTGCTTTTGCTCTTGCTCTTGCTCTTACTCCTGCTCTTGCTCCGGACCCCCTAATGCAAATGAGGTTTTAAAGGGCAGGGATGATTTCGGGAGGATTGGCCCCAAAGTTTGAAAAGTGGGGGAAGGGATTATACGGGCGCCTAAATACAGTAAGCTCCCCTATTTTGAAGCCTCACATATTAGCTGCATCGACACTGAATGCCGACGATGGCGTATTTTCTGGTAGGAAACATACCTGCAGTCACAACTGTAGTTCCTTTATTGGTTAACGAGTCTTTATGGTTAGGATGCTAGAATACAGAATATACAGCCGGTGACCAACAAAAGGAACTACACTAGAGACGGTAGGAATTTGTATGTAGAGTCTAACGGCTTCCGATGCGAGATCGTGGGCTCGATGCCGTACATGGCGCCGGAGATGGCGGCGGGAGGCTGGGCATCGGCAGTAGCAGTGCAAGTCGTAGCTTAGGACTCATTCGGAGATCTGTCGCTGATGCAATCGCTTGGAGTATTCTGCCGGAGAAGGTGTTTTCAGCCTCCTCTCCTGCAATCCAGATGCTCTTTCCCTTGAGTCCCAAACTTGGCAGGTCCCTACTGGCCGCACTCCGCTGATGCTTGGAGCTGTGGCGTGGCAGATGCCTTACCAAAGCTGTGTCGCATCTCCTCACGCAGTCCAAAACGTGGGAGTGTCGTCGCTGCTGCAGCTAACTTGCTCCTCAGTGCTGTGAAGACACCACTCTATCTCTCTCCCTCTTTCTCTATCCCCAACTTCCTCTCTCTCGCTGACTCTCTCTCTCTCTCTCTCCCTCTCCCTCTCTCTGTCACCCTATGTCTCTCTCTCTCTCTCTCTCTCTCTCTCTCTCACACACACACACTAAAGTCACGGCACCCAACGTCTTATAGCCTGGCCAGAGTCCAAGCAGGTGGCAGTTCCCAGCAAGGATGACATGGGACTTTCCTCAAATTACGGGGTACCTATTTTGGGGTCCTTATAATAAGGATCCTACTATTTAGGGTACTATATTGGCCTTATTCTGGGGTCCTTATAATAAGGATCCTACTATTTAGGGTGCTATATTAGGGTCCCCTATTTTCGGAACCCCCCAAATCCACACGCAAAGAACGAAGGATATGCGGCCGGACAGAGCAGCAGTCCTTAAACAACGCACTGCTGACATGTATGTACTGTATTCTCGTACACGCAAGAAGTCCTACCCTAAACCCTAAACTCGTAAACCATAATCCCTAAATCCCAAAATCAAGATCCCACAAATTAGCTGGTGACCCATCTGGCGCAGTCCCTGCTGGAGATGGCTGGCGGTCTCGGGTCGTTGGCCACGGCGGTGAAGTTCGACCCAGAGGCTCTCAGTGGATCACATCCCTGAACCCCAAGAGGTTTAGGGCAAAGTTTAGGGTTTAGGGTTTAGGGCTTTGGGTTTAGGGTTTAGGGTTTAGGGCTTAGGGTTTAGGGTTTAGGGTTGAGGGGTTTGGAAACTCTCAGTCCGGTAGGAGTGCTAGCGTTGATGGACCAAGTCCTGAATTCCAGTAGCTCTTACCACGGACACGCCAAGATCATCACCCCTTGGGGTTCCGTATTGTGACTATACTTCAAGATTGCCCAAGCCCTTTGCTAGTTAGGAAGGCCATAGAGCACATAGTGTACTTGAGGTAAGCCAGCACCAGCTGCCGACGTGCGCGTAGCTCCAAGTTTCGAAGGATTACTACAGTGGTATTCCTCATACTTCTCGTGCCAAAGCCCACCGCAAACCCTAAACCTCCTAAATCCCTAAACCCTAAACACCCCAACCCCCAAACCCTGAACCCCGAATCCCTAAACCGTTAGTACAAGCACTCAAAAGCCCAAAACCCCCAAACCCTTAAACCCCAACTAAACCCTAAACCCTAAACCCCTCCCTAAAACTCAACTAAACCCTACACCCTAAACCCCTAAATCCCAAGAGAACAACTCTACACCCCTTTTGCCTCAGCGAACAACTCCTTCGAGGCACCCCCTTCCACCATCGCGCCACTGCTTATGCAGTTCTTCGAAGATCCTGGCGCCTGACTGTGGGTCTTAGGGTTTAGGGTTTAGTGTTTAGGGTTTAGGGTTTAGGGTTCAGGGCTTAGGGTTTAGGGTTTAGGGTTTAGTTAGGGTTTTTTGGTTTAGGGGGCCTTCAGGGCTTAAAAGTAAGAGTTGGGGTCCATGTTCAGGTTGGTTGGGCTTAGGATGCGAAAGCAGGGCTTGGAGGATGAAAGGTCCATATAATCGATCAGTTTTCAGGGTTTAGGGCCTAGGGTTCCGGGGGTGTCTGGGCCACAGGTTTGATGCTGGCCTGGCAGTACTTGAATCCTTACATTGCATTTTGGGGTAGATTCTACTATTATAATAAGGAAACCCCGAAGTAGCATAGGTGATTATCTAGGCTCCTATGTTAGGAGTTTGGGGACTTCCCAAGGAAACCCGAGGAAGCATTATGTAACCGCGATTGCGGGGGTGTAAGTCTGAGCCCGGTTCTGGGGCACATGCGTGCGGGACGGACTCCCAAGCAGGCATCAACGCAGTCTAGAGACATGTGACGGGAGTTGCTGTTTGAAGCTACATGTCTTCCTTCTATCTATCCAGCAATTTAATCATCTGGCTCTCTGGGCTATCTAGCTATATGTAGCTGTCCATCGACATATCTGCATTTCTGTCTATCCACTTATCTACGCAGCTATACCTATCCACCTATCTATCTACCTACCTATGTATGTAAGTATGTACCTAACCAGCTAGACCACTACGTCTGCAACTCTCTGTCAACCTGCATATCTATCTATCTATCTATCTACCTACTTACTTTTCTATCTATCTACTTACTTATCTACCTATCAATCTATGTATCTATCTGTCTATCTATCTATCTATCTATCTATCTACCTATCTACCTATCTATCTGTCTACCTATCCTATCTATCGATCTATCTATCTGTCGATCTCCCTACACAAACTTAGTCAGTTGGTTGGTTGAGTGCTTCCCTCCTGGCTTGCTTGCTTGCTTGCTTGCTTGCTTGCTTGCTTGCTTGCTTCCTTGTTTACCGGTGGATGTTACAGCTTTTTTTTTTTTATAATATTTTGCTTGCTGTTAGCATTGTGAAACTTGCTCGTATTATTGATGTCGGAACTTTGAGTTCTAACGCCCGAAGCATTTTGGGTGCTGGAGCTCCAGGGTTTGCAGGTGATTTTCCAGCCCGGTGTTTTGGAACATGTGTTGCCTTGGGTTTTAGGTTTTACACCGGGGAGTTCCGAAAGTGTAGACCTTCAGCCCTATTTTCTTTTGGCTTCCAAGGACTTTGCTGCTGCGTGGGAGCGGGCGAAGACATGGACGTAGTGTGCGAAGTGCCCACGTCCACCACGACGACTCGCACAGAAACAACAAGCACTTCCTCGACACGGACGACGACCAGTGAAACTCAAACAACATCCACCTCTTCCACTTTCTCAGCGACTACTACAGTCACTTTCAGCAGTACCACTTCAACCAGCTCGTTGACCAGCACAAGTCAAACCACAACGTCCGTGACTGCGACGACACAAACTGAAACTACCACGTCCTTCTTGACAACGAGCTCAACCGTCAGCACGCGCCGTTCTCAGAGAGTTTTCTCTTCAACCCAGTTTGCAGTAGTCTTGCCTGGCGCAAAGTGCTAAGACAGGTTTTCAGGTGAACCTTATGCATCCCTATTATTTCATGTCAATGTTTCAACAAATCCTGACGCTGCTCAGAATCGATCTCGTACACTTACAGTGTACCGGTCTGGAGCCGGCTTTGCGAAAGAGTGGTTGTGCTTTTGGGGTTTAGGGTTTAGGGTTTAGGGTTTAGGGTGTGCTGGACGGGCACAACTCGCACAGAAGGTTCGTATACCTTCACCTATCACCAGCCACGAAGCTTCGCATACTCTTGCTTCATGCAGTCAGCTGATGCATGTCCTGGGGTTCTGTTAGCCACTGGGGTCTGGGGCCGGAATCTCTTGGTGAGCACAGACTTTAGACTTCAATTACCCTGCAACCCGACACTACACCGTTTCTTAATCTGCACCCGGGGCCTATCGCTCCACACAGTTCTGCACAAGTCGAAGTCCCTAGGCAGACAACGACGAGCGAAACTTGGCAGGAAGACATTTAGGCGCATTGTTCCACGACGACTTCGGTTCGGGTTGTTGTTTCTTTCTGAAAGCTTTTCACAGCCGTCATGCTTCGTGTCTACAGCCCGCAAGCGTCGGTGGGGCTATCATGGTCATAGTCATTTTATTTTTGATTCTCTGCTCGTTCGTGTCATGTGCTTTTTCTTAATGGCTACAGGCAATACTGCAATCTTCAACAGGAGTTGTGTGAGGAGTGTGTCTGTTGCGTGAGGAGTGTGTCTTGCTGCTGTTACTACAGCTGTGCTCATGTCCTGTTACATCCGAGCGGACGCGCAATATCAGTGTTCGTCTAGTTGCTTTTTTTGGTGAACATAGGTCTGCGTGATGAGCAGTATTCTCGTTGCTGCTGCTTCGTTCTTTGTATTGCTTATCTCGTTATTTGGGGTTTGTTGCAGCTGCTAAGCTTGTTCTCTTACCAGATCAGAGCCGACTCAGAGCTGCCACCAGCATCATCATCTTCGTCATCATCGCCATCATCGTCAACAACATCAACATCAACATCATCATCGTCGTCATCATCATCATCATCATCACCATCATCATCATCATCATCACCCTCACCCTCATCACCCTCATCACCATCGTCATCGTCATCATCATCATGATCACCATCACCGCATCATCGTTACCGTTGTTCTCATCATCACCATCATCATGACCAGGACCAGCACCATTAACATCGTCACCATCATGATTGCCATCTTGTTGCAGACATTTCGTGTTCATAGTATAACCCTAAACTCTACACCCTAAACCCTAAACCGCCCTAAACCCTAAACCCTAAACCCTAAACCTGGTACTTGTAGTCCTCCGCCCCATGTCATGGCTCAAAGCTTAAGCCTTTGGCCCCCGGCCTCTAGGGACCGCGACGAGCCATGCCCTGCTGATGACCTAACCCTAAACCCTAAACCCTAAACCCTAAACCCTAAACCCTAAACCCTAAGCCCTAAGCCCTAACCCTCAACCCTGACTCCTGTTCGCAATGGCCTGAGTTCTGAGCCCCACTGCCGGGAACCCACCGCTTGGCTTAGTAGGCCTACAGCTCTTCAAAGTGGTCCCAAGTCCGACCGCCACAGAGTGTCCAGGGTGGTGTCGGTTTAGGGTTTAGGGTTTAGGGTTTAGGGATTGGGGTTCAGGGGATTGTGGGTTCGGGAAGTTTGTGGGATATGAAGTTGAAGTTCAAGTTTCCTGCTAAGGAGACGGTGACCACACAGACGACCACCTCTGCCACGGTCACCACGACGACCATGACCACAACAACCGGAATGACGGCTGTTCTGCAGTTTTCGGCCGCATGTCTGCATGTAAACTGTCACAGCGTTGTGGGGTTGGAAGACTCTCATTGAATGGTCGAGGGCCAAAGGCCTGATGAAAGGGGGGTGTGTCTCAGGGGTTTCGGGCTTTGGGGTTAAGGTTTTATACACAAGAGGATCCAGGATCCCACGTCTGTCTACGTGAGTGCGACAGTGGAAAGCGCCCTTGTTTCGCGTGACATTCTAGGAGATCTTTGTGTTTGTTTGGTTTGGGAGGATGCCATGTATTCTGCATATTCATACCGGGGGTTTGCAACCTTAAGCCCTGCACCCTAGATTCGCCAGAGATCCGTAGATCCAGTCGATTTCATACTCACAGAGCTGGAAAGTCCAGGATTCGAGGAAACCCTGAACTCGGAACTCGGAACTCGCCCGAAGCTTTCAGCCCCAAAGCCTAAGCCTTCGTGTAAGCCCTGAGTCCTGAACCCGAAACCCGAAAATTTTGAACTCCCTAAACCCTAATCCCTAAATCCCAAGTCCCTAAAACCCTAAGCCGGAACGGTAGTAATAGAACCGAAGCTCACAACCCAGGTCTCCGCCGGCGACACTGTGCCGCTAGGCGGAGTAAAGAGCTTCAACGAGAAGGTTTGAGGGCTCAATGGTTTGAGGTTTAGCGTTTAGGGTTTAGGGTTTAGGGTTTAGGGTTTAGGGTTTAGGGTTTAGGGTTTAGGGTTTAGGGTTTAGGGTTTAGGGTTAATTTAGAAGTTTAGGATTTAGAGTTTATCACAATCTGAGAGGCAGGTTCTCAGGTCTTTAGGTCGGGGTTCTTGGTTTAGGTGCAGGATTCTGTTGAGCGCTCTTTTCTAAGGGTCCCGAGCTCGATTCCAAGCCCTCAACTTTCCCTAAGCCCTGATGAAACCTCAGAACTGAAGCCAAGACACCGAAACCTAGCTTTGTTTGCACCTGAAAACCTTGTAAACCCCCTGAAGCGTAAACACCAAACACTAGACACCGTCTGGAGGGAACAAGACCGGCTGAGGCTCATTGTGGACAGCAACGCTGGCTTCAGCATCGGCGACATCATCCGCATCTCGAGGCCGACCCAGCCCAGGTTCTACGAGTTTGTGTCCCAGATGCACCGAGACTTTTAGCCTTCCAAGAGCACGGTTTACACTTTCGACGTTTTGGGGCAAGAACGCTTTTCTGGGTTTCAGGGATTTTATGGGGCTGTCACAGGAGGTTAGACGGTTGCAGCACGTGGAAAATTGTGGGGTTCTAGACAAAGGTCTATGGAGCTTCGTGTCTTTCTGACATAAGTTACATTCAGTCCCTTGGCAAGGCACAGGCTTCCTAAACCCCTAAACCCTAAACCCCTAAACCCCTAAACCCTAAACCCTAAACCCGTGGGGCTGTCTGAGGCATTGTGGACGAACTGGGGCTCCAATTTTCCCAAGCAGGTGCCGTCCCTCCTGTTGAAACCTAGGCAGCTGGGGGCTTTCTTACGGAGTTCGGGGTTTCGCATTTCGGGTTCATCATGGGACACGCCACCCATGCGACAACATCCGCCCGAAAAGCATCGAAGACACCCCGAGCCCCATACCCTAAGCCCTAACCGTAAATCGTAAAGCCTAAACCCTAAGCCCTAAGCCCAAGCCGCAAACCCGAAACCCCAAAGCCTAAACCCGAAGCAGAGTTTCGGCAGCCACAAAGCCAGCACGCGAAATCCTAAATCTTGGATATTGCCCCCACTCAGTAACAGTTGAGCCGCACTTATAAGACTCATATGCAATGCTGTTGAATGAATACCCCTTATAAGGACGGTTGCTGTATGCGGGCAGTAGCCAACCTAAATGCAAGGTTGAGATCACGGCTTTTGGAACCGTTACGATTTCGGCGAGGCAAGGATGCACAGCTTGCGGCAACTAGTCACGCCCCTGAACCCTGAACCCGCGCAATAAAATTGGAATCCTAGGTCCTCAACTCCATAGTTCTTGCTCGAGCGTGAAGCCTAAGCTAAGCTCTGAAGCCCGCTTGTGATTCTATGAGTTCACGACGGCTGGCCATTTCAGGGGGTAGAGGGGCTTGGGATTTCGGATGTGTGGAACTGTTCGGCGGTTACTTAGCATGAGCGGTGAGCGATCATGTCAAGCTCTTGCTGGACAGACGGATTGTTTTCATGTTTGCATTTCTGCTTTCAGGGTGCTCGTCAATCTTACTACAGGTTCAACAGCAGCACCGGCAGCCGAAAACCCCAACAGAATCCAAAACTGAGTTGCCAAAGCCGAAGACACTGAAGCATGTTAAAACAAAAAATGAAGTCTCTGTTTTGCATTTCAGGGTGGAAGTATGTCTCGCTTAGTGGCTTGGCGTTGAATAGTGTCATCTGCAAAAAACTTGCAGCTTTACAATGTGGTTGCTCTCTTCGTCCTCAACGTAATTCGGCATGGTCTCACGAAGAATCTAGGATGATAACCCTAAACCCTAAACCCTTAACCCTAAACCCTAGGATGATGGGGTTGAAGCTTTAGACCGGCTTTTGAGTCAGGACGACCAAGATCCGTCTAGAGTTTGACCTGAGGACTTTCTCTGCTGTCTTGACCAGGCGTTTGACGACCTACAGCACATGGACGGTGGCTGTGCTGCAAACCTAGACCCCAAACCTGAAAGGAGAGCGAGATTCTCGTCAACTTTGCATCCAGAAGTCTCTACGCCCTAGTAGGCCCTAAACTTTCCTAAACGAACTTATATAGAACCCCAGAGGCACAGATCCCTATACCCGTTGCAGCCGCACTCACGGAAGCGGTGTTCGGGATTCGGTCAAGGGTCGGGACTTTGGGCTTTTCCTCCTGCCCTGCGCCCTGTTAGGGTTTCGGGTTTAGGTTTTAGGGTTTTGGGTTTAGGGTTTAGGGCCCCGTCATGAGCTCTGACTGAGCCTGAGCCCCAGCCCCAAAGCGGAAGCTCTTGCTTCCAGATCTCGCCGCCTTTGGAGAACGCCTACGGACCAGGCACGATGCCCGGCTGGACGGAGTGCGGGCCGTGTGTGTTGAATCCCATCAGATCCTGCACCCGGAGCCCGAAAATCCTTGAAAGCCTTAAATCCTGAACCCTATGTGAACCCTAAGCCCTAAGTCCGTACCTTCAACCCTGAAATCCAGAACCCTGCGCCCGGCACACATAAACCGTAAGCGGTATGTAAACCCGAAAAAACCCCTAGACAGTCGCTATGTATGCCATTTCTCAAGCTGTAGAAAAGCACCAAGCAGGCATTATCCCCTTCTGCAAGCCCTGTATAGACCCGAAATCCTAAAGTACCCTAAACCCTAAACCCTAAACCCTAAACCCTAAACCCTAAACCCTAAACCCTAAACCCTAAACCCTAGCACCCCGAAACCAAAGGGGCCGCCATCCAGAACTTCGGGCCAGCGAGCTCCTTCACCGGGGGCGACCCGGTCACTTACTTCGGTGCCTTGGTTTGGGGTTTACGGACTGGCGTTTCTAGAACATACAGCATAAATATATGGCTAAGTGTAACATAGTATGATAATGGTATGATAGTGATATGATATGATGTGATATGATATGGTGATATATGATATGCCATGATGTGATATGTTATAATATGACAGGACATGATATTATATGATATAATTCAATAATTCAGCATATTCGGAAATAATGTGTGTACAATATAAGATTTCTACAATGTAATATTTCTACAATACAATATTTTGAACGGGAGTTTAAATTGGATATACTTAGAATAGCTCATCTAGAACACAGAAGCCGAACAACACTTCTAACATTATTCCTGAGGTTTCCTGATTCAAACTGTGGCATCGTATCACAAGAACCTCTTCTAATCATGAAGGCGCCCATGTCCGGCACAGTGGGCTGAAGTTAGGGAGAGTACACGGCCGGTAGGGGTTTGCAGGGTTTTGCGGGTTTGGATGTTGGGAAAGAATTTTGGGGTTTCATGAGGTTCAGGGTCGTAGGGTTTTGCAGAGCTTTTAGGAACTGGGGTTCTTGGATTTGAGCACGGTAGGGCTTCAGGGTTGTGCGGGTTTCGGGATTTGGGAGGTACGTGGGTGCTTCTTGGGGTGTCAGGGTGCGGGACTTTGTCGATAAAAGGCTTCGGGAATTTGGTCTTTGGGGCTTGGAGTCTTTAGTTTAGGGTGTTTGCTTTTCGGGTTTTTGGGTTTAGAACTCTAAACCTTAAACCCTAAACCCTAAAAAAAGGTTGAGTTGGTGGGTTGTGACGGCCCTGGGGTTCGCCGACTACACGACCCGGGGCACCGACCTTGCAGAGTGTCTTTTCCGCCTCGGGAGAGATGGCGAACAAACAGACCCTGCAGCTTGGAGCCCACATCCCGGTTCCAGAGGGTGAAGGGGTGGATGACTTGGAGCTGCTTGACTCGCCTACTGGCAAGAGAGGTCTGGGGCCTGGACCCGCAGAGGGTGAGTCCAAGCGAGGGCGACATCCGAAGCAGCTAATGCTGGACACGGACAACCTCAGGGCGCTGATTCAGGAACAGAGCTTTGACCTCCTGGGCAAGCAACAGGCGCAGCTGGACCGGGCAATCGGAGAGCTCGAGTGCTGAACGCTCGTGAAAGTCGCTGAAGTTCAGCAGCAAATTGCTCACTTGGAGGGAAAGCACGATGAGTCCGATGCTCGCATCCTGGCGCTCGAGAAGGGGCTGAAGGAGGTCACCGACCTGGTCAAGACGGGGGGGGCCCAAGCTGCGACTGCTGGGGGCCGGGGATTGAGTGAAGAGAAGCGACGATGCACACTGGTGGTGGGCGGATGGCCCAAGGATTCCAGGCGGCAGCTCATACTAGCAGACCTTCAGGAAGCACTCCGTGGATTGCAGCTCGGTCCCTACTACGACACCGAACCATTTTGCACGGGGCCCAGGAGGTCCATCGCTCTCCTGCCGATCCCTCGCAGGCAAGCCGAATCGGATCAGGACCACCGTGACCGTATGTTCAGGTTTGTCCATGGGTTTGGGGCTACTCAGGTCTTGACGAAGACGGGGAGCAAGTTGTGGTGTACTTTCTCGAAAACCCCGGAGCAGAGGGCTATCGCGAGCCACGCAAGCCTGATCAAGCGCATTGTGTGCCACTGCAAAGGGTCGGCGGATGGCATCCTCGATTTCGAGTACAAGACAGGCACAGTATGGTGTGACGATGGAATGGTTGGGAGCGCGTGCCTGCCGGTCCCGCCTGGCACTGACATGAGGGGCGTTCAGGTGGACGAAAGCACAGCGCGTAAGCACTGGCTGAATGTGACCATGCTGGCAAAATTGGTCGGGCAGCCAGGCCCGGCAGTGCAGGCCATTGTGGACGAGTGCAAACATTGACTTGAGTCGCAAGGGCCGAGGACAGGGTTTCACCAGGGGTCCAGGGGAACTTCGAAGGATGCTATCTCCGCAGAGGCCCAGCCTTGTGTGCAGGACAGATGTACAGAACGGATTTCGGAATTCATGGTGAAGGTATACGGATGGAATGTTGGTGGATGCGATATAGCTGATTTGGACACTTGTTTCAGGGAAGGGTGCAAAGGGAACCTTCCGCTACATGCAATCCTCACTTTGCAAGAGCTGCCACGTGGTGAGCTTGGTTGGAGCAAGCAAAAGTGCGGCGGTTGGAGTGTCGTGAGCTACAGAGCCGAGGGAGTGTGGAGAGGACCGGGAGTGGCCTACCGAGACAGCGAGTGGATGGTTCGGAGAAGATACTCTAGCAACAAAGGGATATGGGTGCAGCTCAAACATGTGTTGTATGATTTTCTCTATGGGTTGGCTCGGCCCACTTCACGCCAGGGTGCACGGTGGCACAGTACGAAATGGATGTCGAGGAGTGCCTGCGTGGGTTGCCGAGGTCGTCGGGACCGGCAGTCTTCCAGTGTGATGCAAATGCGCCCTTCCGATGGCGGGACTTTGATGGCACACTACATGCTGTGGGCAAGGACTCCAAGTCTAATGAAGTGCAGAGCCAGATGATGAGACGGGGCCTTCACATGGTTCCCCCAGGGATGCAGCAGCGAAACACCCCGACAAGCAGACCGAGACAAGAAGGGAAACAGGGGCATGTGATCGATGTTTTTGCGTGCAAACAACTGGGACCGGGAACCATGGTTATACATGAGGACTCTTTTCGGGTGTTAGGGACAGACCATGAGATCTTGGAGGCTTCTTTTACGATTAAGGCCAAGAAGGAGTACATTCGACATTCGACAAGACCGAGAGTGTGGGTTGGAGGGTTGCAGCAGGTTGATCAGATCGACCAGGAGACGCTCGAGAGATATGGCCGTCTGTATACTAGACCGAAGAGGGGTGAGGCGTACAAGGATCCACTTGTGGTTAAGCAGGCCGCATGTCGAGCACGACTTGAGAAAACCAATGAAGCATGGAGGGAAGTTCGTCGGTTGCGCAACAGGCTCGACGGGAATGGGAACAAGGTCGTTTAGACAGGGCTTCACAAGGGGATTGGCAGTCGCTTCGGGTCGCAAGGAAGCAAGCGGATACAGGCTGGGCAGAGGGTTTCGCAGCGGCGCAGCAGGGGGATGCTCACCAGGTGGTCCACGATCATCTTACGGAAGTGTACCATCATCTTACGGAAGTGTACCGAGGGGCGCCGCCACCGAAACGTGCACATCCGTACGTAGGCGAGGTCAGGGCATTCACAGAAGACGAACTTGATGTGGCTATTGGCCAGATGCAGTCTGGGAAAGCAGTGGGGGGAGATGGTACATCCAAGGAATTGCTGGTGGGAATTTGTGGAGTGGAAGGTGGCAAACAACACTTGCTTGAATTCTTCACACGAGTTCTTGTCACGCAGGAAATTCCGGACGAGTGGAATACTCCTCTCATGGTCTTATTACCTAAGCTGAAGCAGCCGGTGAATGCCAAAGATTTCCGCCCGATCTCCATGAGTTCCGGGGTGTCCAAATTGTTTTCCCGTTTATTGCTTAACCGGGCTGTGAAAGACTTGGAGGCGGGTAGTCACAGTCAGTGTTCTGTAAAGGGGAGACAAACTTCGGACTACGTCTTCACCATGTGGAGGGCACTTGAACTTGAAAGAGAATGGAGGCGGGGGCTGTGCGTCGCTAAGCTGGATATCGCCAAAGCTTTCGATTCCATCGATAGGGGCAAGGTCCTTGAATGCTTGGCGGCTCGCATCGGGGAGTCGGCTGAACTTCACTGTTGGTATGGCCTACTTCAGCAAAACTGGTGCGCGTTACAAACCCCGTGAGACTCGTCGAGGGTCACCCAACAACTCGGCATAAAACAAGGCGCCATTGAAAGCCCCCTTTTCTTTGGTCTTATTGCTGAGTTGTGCCTTGCCGAAACGGCTCGTCGATATCGATGGGACAAAACTCACAGGGGTGCCCGTACCAGGATATGTTGTATATGGACGACTGCTTGTTATGGGGGAAGGGGACGCTGGGAATTGAAGCTCGGATTCGCCAATTTATGGCAGTTCTGGCTGAATTTGGCTTCAAACTCAACGGGGCTAACTGCCAACTTCTTGTGTCGCCTCACTGGAAAGGGCCGAAGTTCATCCACATCGCAGGGGTCAGAGTCGATGCGTCGGAGGAGCTGGAGGTAATGGGCCTGCATATGAGAGTCGGAATGTCGACTTGTGAACTTATCAGTCCTTTGCTTGTTCGTGCTAAAGCGAAATTTTGGGCGACGCGGCATATCTTCTGCGCAAGGACCCCACTGAAGCGTCGCTTGCATGTCATCGAGAGAGTGATCGGAGGGACTGCTTTATGGTGCCTATCGGCATTGCCACTTGAAAAGGGGGCGATGGGTCTCTTGAACTCGGTACAACAACTTGTGGTTTCGTGGGCCATGCGATTGGGACGGCGACGTGATGAATCTTGGACGGCCTTCAGGCAGAGGGCTCATAGATCCGCGGGGGCCGCGATACACGGGTCAGGGTTGGAAAGGTGGGGGACGACATGGTTGAAGCGCTGGTGGCGGTATTCAGGGCATCGGGCACGTGGACTCTTAAGAGAGGTGCCACCGATTAGCTCGCATCTTGACGCTTTCCGGACACTCTCTTGGTGGGGGGCGGAACAACGCAAAGGCGATGGGTTGCAACACACACATCATTATCCTCGGCTTATGAACATGGAAAGGGTTATGGATCAGGCAGCAGGGAAAGAGTGGAGGGTTCTTGCTCAGAGCAGAGTGGAGTGGCAGAACAGAGAAAGAACTTTTGTGGATTGCATGGATGTACCGTGGGCAAGTGGGAGACAGTATCAGCTCTTGAATTGGCAATGACAGTACAGCAAGGGCCGGGGGCCGTTGACAGCCTTTGAAGGTTTCTCTGCCTGAACTGCAGTTGCGGCTCTTGGCCTACGACACACAGGCCTCGCAACCTTTTTCGTATTAGCAGTGGCCATGCCCGTGTGGACCATGCGCTGCGGCTTTCTTTACTTTCTGAGGCTTTGTGCCTCCTCCATATGCGAAGGTGACCCTACCCCGGTAGCTCTCGATGATGACGGGTGCTGTGACCTCACCCTGTTTGGACCGGCTGATGGGCCTGCGCGGAGTACATCGTGAAGGCCTCGATTCGGATCGTTGTGACTCAGATCGGCGGGTTCTGTACCTCGAGGTTACCCCGACGGCCAAGGAGCGGAGCGCCCAGGAGGGCATGTTCTCACAAGGACCACCTCTGCGAAGACCTGCTGTGTCTCTACTCTTCAAGACGACAGGTGATGTGACCTCGCCATGTTTGGACCAGCTGGCGGGCCCGGGCGGAGTACATCATGGAGCCCTCGATCGTGGCCATTGTGACCCAGGTCGGCGGGTTGAGTACCCCGGGGTGACCCTCAAGGACCAGGAGCAGTGCATCCAGAAGGTCAACTTCGGAATGGAAGAGGGCTTGTTGAACGGATGCGACGGGTGGGGTGGAGTACATTGCGCAGGGTATGACCGGGACCCCTATTCGCCTGACACGGACTCTGCCTGGCTCATGCAGCAGGAGATGACACTGGCCTCCCCAAGCACCGACAACATGGGTGTCGTTAAGCAAGGCCTGCAAAGGGTTAAGCGGCTTTTGCAAGCAGGGCGCCGTGGACGTCTACGTGAGGGTATCCTGCAGGCCGTCAACCAGAAAACCAGTGTCCAGGTTTTCTTCAACGAACTCATGCGGGGAGTATGGGACGAGGACCTGGGGGGTGGAGGTGATCTGTGCCTGGCGGAAGGACTTGAGAACGACTTGGAGTGGATGTCGGCGCTTGTGGACCTCATCTGGGATGAGTACAGGCGGGCTGGAGGCAGACTGGCCGAGGCCCCGGAGAGTAGTAGCACAGGGCGTGCAACCGTGACCTCGTCTGCGGCTGGGCCGCCGCCGCCCAGACCAGTCAACGAGCCTGCAGCGATGAGGGACGCTGAAGAAAGAGGAGAGGAACCTGCAACGGCGAGGGATGTGGAAGACGGTGAGGAGGGCCAGGCGGAAGGTGATATCTCCTCCTTCTCCGGGGATGCGTCGGATGCAGTGAGTGCAGTCCAGACGGCGCTGTGCAAAACATGGGAGGAGTACTATGACGAGCCGGACAACTCATGGCGAGGGGTGGCCCTGGAGATCAGGGAAGACCTGGAGGATGTTGCGCAACATGGTCCTCAACCATGAAGAGGGGGAAGCTTGCAAAGTGGCAAGGATGACAATGCGGCACTTTATGACGGTCCCAGATGTGACATCGACAATGTCAAGGCAGTGGGTGGAAGCGATGCTCCGCGAGGTGTTCCGGAAATATGCCCACCGAGTCCCCGACCCGGAGGCATATGAGCTGGATGAGGACATGAGTGGCTGGCTCGACGGGATTCTCCGGAAGATCGAACAATGTGAGCAGCAGAAACACAGGGGCATCATCGAGTGGGTGCAGGCTCGCCGACGGCGTCAACAGGAGGAGTCGGATCGCAGCGGAGGTTCGAGTGACGGGCAGGGGCACAAGCGACCCCTACAGGATGAGCCCGACCCTGCCAGCAGAGATGCTGACCGGGAGGATGTGGCGACGAGGGCTGCCAGCGAGCCGTCGCGCCAGCAGCCGGGGCGAACGGTCAGAGAAGCGGATGACGTGGACGAAGTGGACTTGATGGCTGGTGGCAAGCCGAGACGGTCGCGATCCCCGGTTTGCCGTGGTGGAGGATCTGACGGGGATAGGCACACCAGAGCTGGATGGAGGAACTCAGGCACGACCAGCACTCGTGTCCTGGAGCCGCCCCCTCGCAACACGGGAGGCAGTAGGGCGGGAGGTGCGTCGGGGAGTGGAACGCCTCGTGCGGAGTCCCGGGCACGGATGAGGCGAGATGCAGAAGAACTGTTCCATGCCACCTCGCCCTGTCGATCCAGCAGCACCCCAGCCACTCTCAGTACCGGAGGCCGTGGATGTGTGGCGACAGCTCCTTCATATCGCTGAGGACCATGGCATGGGGGAGTCGGACGAGGCAGTGCAACGAGGTGGGCCGTCCATCCCACGGAACATGGCCGACAACATGGTCGACACCCTCCGCGACATGGACCAGCGCGACTTGGCGATAATGACAGTGGGGCTCGTCGACTTGGTGAGACGGCTGATGGTGGAATGTTCGCAGGCTCTAGCCTGTGCAAGCGAGGACATTGTCGATGTGGAGGTGGAACGGACAGACGCCCCATCCTTGATGCAACGTGCAATGACGGACGCCATGATGCAGCTGCACCCCTTGCGGATGAACCCTGGCATGGTGGTGCAGGAGCTACAGTGGTGGAGAGGCATGGCGAAGCCGTCTTGCCTCGCCTAGCCAAATTGGCGGAGAGGGCGAGGAACTACAGACTGGTCAATGGGGACGACCACATCCTGGGCCTCTTGGACGCCCTCCTGGTGGCAATGGAGCAGGAGGCCGACTCCCGGGCCGATTGTGTACGACCGGTGAATGAAGACACGGATGGATGGGTCAACAGATGGTGGCATCGGATTCGCACCGCCATGGGTGCCCGGGGAACGGCCGCCCTGCAGTAGTGACCAAGTGGTGGCGGTTGACAGCCAGGGGCTTGAGGAAGGGGAGCGCCTGGCGGTGGACCAGGCTCAACTGCGAATGGAAGAATCCATCGTGGAAGCCCACCGAGTTCGGCAACAGGAGGAGCATGAACAGGATGAAGAAGACATGCAAGCGGAGGTGGAAAGACGTGGAGCTGCCTACCTGGCGGAAAGGGAAGCGCAGCGCTGGCAACAGTGGGATGATTGGGCGGTCTATGACGAGATGCACCACAGAAAGCCGCGGGTTGATGGTCAAGTGGGGGTGGAGAAGTGCCTGAAAGTGCCGCTGCCGGATGAAGGAGGCAAGGTGGAGGTGAAGATGGCCGCTGTTGTGGAACAGGAAGTGGTGTCCTCCCCGGAGTCGGCAGCTTCTACACTGATGCAGCCGCAACAACACACCCCCGAGGACATCGCCATGCACGGTGCGGACACAGTGGTGCAGGGCATCCCGAGAAGTTTGGACTTCCACACGTACATGGGTCAGTATCGTCGCTTCAGGAGGGGCGAGATTGGCGAAGCCTACGTGAAAGAGATGTGGGGTGAAGCCTCCTTGGACCTCATGATTGCCCAGGGACTCGTCGAGGAGGCAGAGCAGGAGGAAACGTCCGGCGTGATCAACGTAGAAATGGAGGTAGAAGGGTGCGCCGAGCGTCCGCCAAGGCAAGCAGGACACTCGCAGAGCCATTCGGATGGCCAAGATGCTTGGGATGGCGAGATGATGAACGTCCTTGGTGATAGAGATGCAGAGGGCTTGGTCGCAGATGGATGCCGTGCAGGACAAGCTGGGGAAGGGGACTCAAGGGAGAGAAGCAACGACCAGGGTAATGGGGTGCAGTTCCACGAGGCGGCTGAAGGGTACGGTCACAACCCAGGCCACGAGGGCTACGAGTGAGTCCGGTTAATGTTATAGGCCCGTAAGTGGCCAACCCTCGCCTGCCCAATCCGGGCTTGAAGGATGCTTCGTGCAGACATCAAAAGGGCCCTTGAAAAAAAAACCTTAAACAAAAGCTTTTTTGGTTTAGTTAGGGTTGTCGGAGGGTTTAGCGAACTGTTTTGGCACTTTGGGACTTTGGGCTGATCGTAGGGCAGGTAGCTTTGGATGCTTTCAGATGTCCGCTCTTTGCTCTAGGGGGTCTCATGGATACTTCGGCACCACATGCAATCTTTGTCAGGGTTTCCTAGGCCTTAGTTTCTTGGTTTTGTTGTCGGTAGCTTAGGGTTCTAGGTCAGGGGTGGGCCTGGGTGGCGCAAAACCTTTCGAGCTTCGGTGATGGGCTGAGAAGTTCCAACTCTTGGGCGGGAGGTCTTTTTCGTAGAGCTTGCTAGGTTTTATGCTGTTCAGAGCACTGGCTTAGTGTTGGCCTTAACCCTAAACCCCAAGCCCTAAATCCTAAACCTTGGACTAGGATGGTGGTAGGGATTTCTGGGCCCTTGGCAAATGCCAGTCTTGTGGTCTTGCACAGGTCATGAGGGCCCTGTAAAGATGTATTTCAACCCTAAACCCTAAACCCCTAAAACCCCTAAAACCCCTAAACCCTCAACCCTAAACCATCGCCCAGGTGGGCAGAAGTGGAAGTTCTGGCTGCCCTTGCGACAGGAGCTGCTCTTGCTGGCCACGCCCGTGCCTCACCTGCAACTTCCCCTTCGCGAGGCGAGTAGGGTTTAGGGTTTAGGGTTTAGGGTTTAGGGAGGGATATGGTTTGGGGTTTTGGGGCTCCGGAAGCCTCAACCATGAAACAATGAAACCGAAGACCCCTTAAGACCGAAGCGCGAAAGCCCCGCAAACCCTCAAAATCGGAAGCTCTTGCGGCTAAACGCTGAACCCCAAACCCTGGAAGATAAAGCCTTCACCCTTGTTGAGGACTTGCGCCTCTACGGCCGCGTCTTCCCAGGAGCTCCTGCAACAGGGTAAGGGTTTCGGGTGGTGGGGTTTAGGGTTCAGGCTTAGGGTTTAGGTTGTCAGGTCTGGGATTTACTTGGATTTAGGGAAGAGCCCGAAACTCGAACTTATTGGGAAGGGTGGGGCTTTGGGATTCTAGGGTTCGTGTCTGTTACGGCCTCCGGGCGTAGGGTGCTTTGAGTGGGGTGCTCGCCCAGGAGAATTCAAGGGTTTGGGATTTAGTGTAGGCTTCAGTGCAGTGTGACGTGTGGGGTGTCCCACACCAAATTTTCGCCACGATTCCCCCGAAACCCTCAACCCTCCAGCCAGGACCCAGGCCGCAAAGCCCAGGAACCCAGCGCGAAGCTCCCTCATTGCCTTGATCCCTGCACCCAAACCGAGAATCTTGAGGCCTTCCGTGTGTCTCGGCCCCTGCGAATCGCTCCACTCCCCTTCGCCTCCGCAGGACCCCAAATCGATCAGCAATGGTTCGATTACTTCATGGTGGCCCTGCCGGACGACACGCCCATTGCCACAGCCGCCTGTTTGAGGGAGATTCGCAACCTTAGGGTTGCCACTAGGCATCCTCAGAGTAGGAACCCTATGCTTCTTCGTGGTTTCTATGAGAGCCCATGCTGGAATTGCTATATGATTGTATCTGGGCTTGTTGGTCCAGATTCACATGTTTCGGCCCGGGAAATGCAATGTTGCGGTGAGGGTTCTTCCCCTTCCGCCTGCGTTTTTTTTTTCGTTTTGGGCGGCACGAGAACCTTGACAAAGGCTTCCACAGTATAAGCAATCGAGACAACAAGGTCTGCAGCAACAGGAACGGTAGGAGTATTGTTAAGCCAGAAGACTCAATAGCTCTACAAGCAGCTCATGTGCTACTTGTCACCCAGGAACTCCAACACCTCCGAAAACTTTCACCCGCGCCCCGCTCCAAACTCGATTCCCCAAAACCTCAGCCCCTGAGGCTGCAAAATCCGACTGAGGCAAAGCCTGTTTAAAATATTCAGGGCGTAGAAGATCCTAAGCAACATTAAAAAGCACCTTGCACCGGACACCTAAACTTTGCGCCCAAAGCCCTAAACCCCAACAGCCACCTGCCCTAACACCCTAAACCCTAAACCCTACAAACCCTAAACCCCTAAACCCTACCACCTAAACCCTAAGCCCTACAAAACCCGAAGCCTTGCACTTCAGAAGCCCCAGGTCCGGGTGAAGCCGCACTCCAACCGAACTCTTGCCGCCTCCCGGCGATGTGGCTCCAAGCGCTTTGAGATGCTGGACATCTTCCTAGGAGCCCTTGCTAGATTTCGAGAAGTGTGGTGTTTTAGGTTGGCGTTATAGTTTGGGATTTGGGGTTTTGGGGTGTATAGTTCCTACGACTGGGGTGTAAAGGTTGTCCAGCTCGAGTTTCAGGGTGTAAGGTGGAGCTCGGGCCTTCTCGGAGTATACTGAGCTATCTACCGAGAATGTGAGACTCCGAACCATCTCTCTTAAAGGCAGCGCTGGTATGTACTGCGTCAGTCTGGAAAGACCGGAAGCTTCGAAGTTTGCTAGTGCTAAATCTCATACGGTTTAGGGTTTAGGGTTTAGGGTTTAGGGTTTAGGGTTTAGGGTTTAGGGGTACATACCTCTAGACCGACAGCCCTAAAAACCACTTACCTCTGACTTTCCTGGTGTTTTGATGACTTTTGGTTTTGGGGACAGCCATGCCTGTGGCACCCGGCAAGGGGAGTCCGCAAGCGAAAGCCCTGAACCTCAAACCCTAAACCTTAAACCCTAAACCCTAAATAAACCAATACCTGAAGCCGCAAAGCAGCGCAGGGGCCTCTGTTCACAAAAGGCATGAAACCGTCGAGCCCTGCGACAGCACAAGCCCAACCCCCAGCCTTGCAGCTCTCTACGATATCCTTTAGGGGTTCGGGTTTAGGGGTTCGGGTTTAGGGTTTAGGGTTTAGGGTTTAGGGTTTAGGGTTTAGGGTTTAGGGTTAGGGGGAAGCACAGCATAGGCCGTTGTAGTCGGTTAACATCACGCGGCACACCTCGAATCCCCGACCCTTGAACGAGCCTCAAGAAAAATCTTTCGAGGAAGTGGCGGCAGGCCGCTCAAGGCCGCCGAGTCTGAAGGTGTTAGGCTTCAGGGTATAGGGTTTAGGGTTTAGGGTTCAGGGTTTAGGGTTTAGGGTTTAGGGTTTAGGGTTTAGGTCTTCCTTGGTTTTTCAGGGCCGAGGGTCTGGATCCCAGGGTTCAGGGTTTTGCAGTGACGGCTGCGAGATTCGATGTTTGGAAGTGTACTTGCTCGCATCAACCTTTGTGTCACAGAGTCACGGGTCTTAAACGGGATCCCTGAACCCTAAACCCTAAACCCTAAACCCTGAACCCTAAACCCTAAACCCGGTTCTGGCAGCTGGTCGAGGTTCGGGCTTCTCTTCACCCTAACGTCCAAACCCCCAGCCCAAAAAGCCTTCATCACTCCATGGAGTGTGGAAGTGGCAAACACCGTCAAAGGAAACAGAAGGGGGATTTAGGGTTTAGGGTTTAGGAACTTCGTCAAAGGAAACGCCAGGGTTCTGGAGCCTTTTGGAATTTTAGACTCGGCGCAGGACGTGTTGCTTCAGACGCTGAACCTAAACCCGAAACCCTGTACAGGTTTGGCCACTGGAGAAGCGGTTTATCAGGGTTACGAAACCAGGTATAGGGGGTACTATGGGGGTTACTATCAGGGCTGCTATAAGGCTTGCTAGAAGACTTGCCATAAGGTTACCATCATGACTGCTGAGTAGATCAATATGCTTCTCGCCGTTGCTTTTGTTGCAAGATTGGTTCTTTGATCCCAAGGCTGATGCTGCCGTGGTGGTGAACCTTCTTTCCGAAGGGCGATGTCAGCATGAACAGAATAGCTTGTCGTATGTCGCCACCACTATGATGATCATGATAATCAATATCCTCCTCCTCCTCATCAGCATAGTGACGATGACGATCCTCAGCATTGGGCATTGGCTACAGTATGAGTAGAGTATGAGCGTTGGAGGGACGAACCCAGGATGGATCATCCATGTATTCTTCGTTCGTGCGGTTTGCTGCAAGTTTCCGTGCGTTCGCAGGTTCATGCTTTATCGTTGGAAATCAAAAATGCGGATGCGACTAAGCCTGAGCTTCCAAACCGAAGACCTGCCTTGGCAGGAGATGAGGAAGATGGAGTACACGGCAAAGTCGATTCGATTCGAGATCAACTGCCGGAATCAGGCTTAACCTGCAAGTCATGTTTGGAGGATATTGTAGTTTGGCTCTTCCCCTTCTCCTGATGCCTGCTCTTGCATTGCCGTCACCACCACCACCACCACAACCATCGCCACCACCGCCGCCGCCACCGCCACCGCCACCGCCGCCACCACCACCACCACCACCACCACCACCTATACCCTAAACCCTATATACCACCACCACCACCCAAACCCTAAACCC